GGTAGACCTGGCAAGCCTGAAAATAACTTCTTCGATCAGCTGAGATCAGCTGAGAGGCGCGATAACAGCGCGCCGTGGTCTGAGTAAACTATATTCACGCAGAACTGTCATTGCACGAGAGTGAGCAGGCCATGTGTCTGATGTATTGTCTTGTTGATGTAAACATGAATAAATTTTCAATACTTCTTACATTTACATTATTTTTCTGATAGTATAAATAACGTGAATTACTCAAATGGAGGTGGACCTTTTAAATGCCGGCTCAGTGCCAATTTCCCCGGATACTGTACTGAGTTTTGAGTTTTTATTGGACAAGGAACTTCTTCTCAAACATTTGCAAAAGCCAAATCCAGGTAATTTACCTTGTTTCGAATTTATCTTTTATACTTATAGCCTTAATGAATCCTTGATAGATCCAACTCCTTTGGATTTAATCACCAAATTTCATGATGTCATTACAACAACCTTACGGAACCGAATGGAACCTGAAACCATCGAGTCTACCACCGTGAATGGTAGTAATGAAGTAAAAATTAATCATCCTGCCAAAAATATTGCCATGAAAATACTATCACTAAAAGTTGCAGCGTTTTTGAACTGGAACCTCGGTAACTAGACATAATTCGATACTTCTGCCTTCGGGCTAAACTAAACTAAACTTTATCTGCTTTAACTAGCTCAAATCCGAGCGTTGCCTTTTAAAACCCAGATTGATCTCCTGCAAGATCTAATGTATTTCACGAATGAAGAAAGGACAGTGTTTGAAATAACCAATCTGGAACAAGTAGACCTTAAGGCAACTTCACCAGAGTTTCTATTTGCTCTTGTGCTATTTCATAGATGGGCACTAAATACGTCCATGCATCGAGTGACTTCAAACTGGCAGCAAAGATATGGGTATAATGAAAATGTAATGTGAACCCAACCAAAATTACTTAGTTAATTTTTTTAGAATAAATGAAATGTCCCTTAGGGATGAAAACATCATTTGTTGCCCGGAAAACATTCAGAAAACCATTAGTTTCCTGCACGAATCTTTGCAATGGGAGCAAATGCCAAAGCTGTTGTCTTTTGACTGCTTCCAAATGCCTACAGAGACAAACGATAGTATTGAATTTAATTGGAGCAAAGCAACTCTTATTTCCAGGTAGACAAAATAGAACATTTTCATTACCGAAAATTTAAATAATTGTGTTTTTAGAGACGAGTTTTGCACCCAAATTTGCTACGATTTGGGCACGTCTTTCTTTTATCAAGAGGACTATAAAGCAGCGAAGGAGCTGTTTCACAAATGTCAGGAGTATTTGAATTTGGTAACGCAACAAAATGTGTTTGCTTCTTTTGATAAAAACAGTTTACAAGTTTACATCAAAGCCTGCGATCCTAGTGTAGATGTACATAAGAAATCTTTGCTGGAGCAACTAAATAACTCTATAGTGAATCAGTTTGTGGTATGTCTTGCTGATATTATTAAATGTATGATTCTAATTTAACTGACTATTGCAGGGCATTACCCATGTTTTGCAGCAGGACAATTTACAAAAGGAAATTCCATTAACGCATCGAATCAACTTGGAATTGGACATACAGGGTGCTTTGTCAAGTGGTGTTTTTACAGTAGCTCGAGATTTGCTTTATAAAGTTAAAGCCTTAAACTATGTCCGATGCATTTTGGAAAAAAAGTTCTTGAATGAATTTTCCTTAGCTGTCGCCAAGAATATTGACGCGTTTATTTGGGTAATTAAACATTGTAACAGTTTTCACTTTAAGCGCATTCACTTCACTATTTCAATTATAATATTAAATTTTATATACTATTAAATACATTAGCGCCGCAAAGGAAGGGACAAAGCAGGCTACTTGCATTTACGTAGAAAATTGAGTCAAATATCAGCTTCGAAAGTTCAAAATAACTATAGTAAGCTCGAGATTGTTGAATTAATAGAAAATCTGTGACGGTTCTTTCTTCACATTTTATTAAAAAGTTGTAAAACAATCAGTCATTTCCGGATTGTTAGGGCGTCGTCTAAAACATTATAGCTCGCGAATCACACCGTTTGTTCAGACGATCTCATACAGTTGCGAAAGTTTCAACCTATTTTACTGTGCGCCGTCCTGTTTAACTATTCCGACGCCACTGGTTTTATGCCCCATTTTTTCCTACGTTGCAGGGAATTCAAGTCAATTGGAAATTGCAATCAAATGAAGACAAAAAGATTATAAAAGACTATCTGTTTCATTTGATAATCAAGCAAACAGTGCCTGATTTAATGGAGCGGATAAAAAGCAATGCCACGCTTGGAAACATATTTGAAATGTCCGAGCTACAGTATGTAATTAAAACTGAAGAAAGTTCCAATATTCCCGAGAACCTGTTCGCATCGGATACAGGTCTTTTTGAAACATCAAAGAAAAGTGAGAATAAGGGTGTATAATAACTAGTTAGGAATTATTGTTCGATTAATTTTTAGGGAAGCCTAAAATGGAACTAAGACTGCTAGTAAGGCAACTGATTAGCTCTTACAACTGGAAGGAAATAAAGGATATACTCTTGAAAATCGGAATGATGAATATGGGCACCAGCGTGTGGGAAATGAATCCACACTGGGAAGTACCTATTCCTATTCACAGTGTTCTGAAAAGTCTTCCTAGGGGTTGGTTATCAAAGTGTTAGATTTTTTGGACAAAATGAGAATTTCTAAGCTAATAAGCGCATTCAGACTTTCATAGTTCAAAATATCTGTTTTCATCATGTTCTTCGTTTTATAGACCTTGTGCAAAATTCAAATCCTATTTAGTAACACGCGCTCTAATTCATGTCTGCTCATCAATTTTTAGGATTCTTAGGTGAACTTTCCTACGTTTTGCTGGCGAAATCAAAAGAGCAGCTTCTAACAAAAAACTGGAATTTGGCATTAGAATTGCTCATTGTTCTGGACAAAGAGCTCAAAAATGCGAATTTTAATGTAGCGAAATTTTGTAAAATGGTAAATTGGGAAATCCTGTTAATACAAATACTGCAACTATTGGAAGAGTGGCCGAAAAGCACAGTGGATAAAGCGGCTTTGGCAAATGCCTGTGAAGTTTGCTTGCAAAGTAACGAATCTGTTATACCCCGCACAGAAATCGTAGAAACTTGTGCCATATGCCTATTGAATTTGGGGCGATGGGAGTTTCTGATTGCCTACGAAAAACGATGGACGAGTTTTGAAATTATGTCTGCTGTTGCCTTGGCGTGCCATGAAATGGTGAAAAACAAATGCAACAAGAAGTTCTCGAAAGACTTGTGGGATATTGGTAAGTCCATTTTTAGATTAGTTGGAATATCCTCGGTTTTATTGTGGTGTCTTTCAGTATTGCCTGTGTTTGCTCCCAATCCATCGCAATCGAAGCGAAGTTCAGCCAGCTGCCACGACATCAATAACCTTAGGAATAAATTACTTTCCATATTTCTTCGTTTGAAAGACTCGACGTGTTTAACTGTTATTATCTCCATGCTCACCAAACTGTATAACATCTTCAAAGATGAAGCCAATTTCGAACTGCAGGTGGACTGTATGAATTTATGGCCAGCGGCGATCAGCAAGTAAGTATCTTCTCAAAACAGCAACATAGATTTTCCATATTCGCTCATTTATAGCGCAAATTCATATAACATAAATACCACCTCAGAAATGCTGTCCCAGGTGCTGTTGCAAGGCATCAGAGAATACCCCACTAACATTCCCTGGTTGCGTGTTATGGGGGATATCAATTATGGTGAGTTTCTTTGTTAGATGTTGTATTTCTTCTGAGCCTAATATTTTTAGCAAACGGAAATTACAAAATTTCCCTGTCCTTTTACCTGAAGTCTTTGATTATTTGTAACGACTATTTTAATATTCCCGTACGCTATGATGATCATGTATTCAGACGAATGATAAAATGCTGTTTGGCTCTTGGTTGCTATACTCAAGCGGCGGTTTTGTGCCAATTTTTAGAGGAGCCTGATTACGCCCTGGCATTTAGAATACTGAGTAAGACTGATAAAAAGTGAAAATCGATCCAGGCTAAATTATTTTATTTTCTGCAGGTGAACAGAAAACATGCAATGATGCGGTAGACGCCTACTACCACTGCTTTTGGGATACAAATATTTTGGAATATCTAATTCACATTCACAACAGGAGAGGAGAATATCAGCGACGAAAATGCGCCATTCAAATAATGGGGATGTTAGAGCTGAATTCCAGTAATAATCAAGAAATTCAACGGGAGGCTAGCAATTTGAGGAAAAGCATTTTCCTGAGAGCCTTGTGTAAACAATACGTATTTTAAATGTGTAATTTGTTACAGTCGCTTTCAGAATATATGTATATTGCCAAGCACATGTGGAAGAAACTGTTTCAATTCAAGCAGTGTAATGCAAGTAAACCTGACCTTTTCACTGGAACCTTCAACCGCTATGAAATACCAGTGGTTATTACTTTATGCGCTTGTTCTTTCGCAGTTCAGTACAATAATCAAAGTAACGAATACTTTATATAATTGTATTATATCAAAGTAACAATTGATAAAAAATACTCAAAAGTAGCGACAATAAACACTTCTAATACGTACTACAGAGTGTGCGGTGAGTACGTAATCAAAAAGATCTTGCGTCATTCTTTGGCGCAGAAGAAGTTGATATGATTTAACTTTTATGAAGGAAAAATCCTGGCTCTTCTGCTATTAATGGTCAGTTCTAGAAAAAAAATGTATGGTTTTTGAAATATCAGGAGAATGATAGAGGTTGAATTTTAATGAAACTCGCTCAGAATTTGTATGTAAGACTCATATTTTGATGAAGAAACCGGGATCATCCGCTTTGGGCAAGTGCTGAACCCTTGAGTGAAATTTTTATTTTTGAACTGAAATCAACTGTTTTTTTTTTGGGTTTATACACTAATTATTTTTTGATATTTTTATGCTCTATAAAATCTGGTAGCAATAATTTACCTGATTTTTCTTGATTTTTTTAAATTTAAATTAATTTTTTTAAAGTTCTTCATTACAATTGAGTTTAAAAGCTACTTTTGTGGTCATTTAAAAGAGAAACATTTGCTCTTTGGATTCTTTGAGTGTCCATTTACTGAATGTTTTCCTTGATTTTTGACGATTTTTTCAATACACTGATTTTTCTGAAGAGCTTCAAACCAATTGAGGAAAAGTTTGAAGGCTACTTTTGTGATCATTTGAAATCTTTTTTTTGTTGGTCCTTTGGGTGTCTCAATGTTTTCATATATTTTTGCCAAATTTTTCAATTCACACTGGTTTTTCAAAATTTCGTTAATTTAATTGAGGATAAATTTGAAGGCTGCTTTTGCGTTCATTTTATGGAGGAATCTTTGCGCTCTTTGAGACCTTTGGGAGTCCATTTACTGAAAAATTTCCTTGATTTTTTGGCTTTAAACTGATTCTTCAAAAGTGCTCCAATTCGAGTGACAACCTGCAATAAGGCGGCTTTAATAGTCATTTAATAGATAAACCTTTGCTCTTTGAGTTCTTTAAAGGTCGATTTACTCAGTGGTATCCTGAATTTTTGAGATTGTTGTAATTTAAGCTGGTTTTTCAAAAGTTCTTCAATACGATTGAGGAGCAGTTTGAGGGCTGCTTTGCCGTCATTTAATAGATACATTTTTGGTCTTTCAGTTCTTTGAGTGTCGATTTACACAATGTTTTACTCGATTTTTGTCAATTTTGTCAATTTAAACTGGGTTTTCAAAAGTTTCTCAATCCGAAGAATATATGGTTCTCAATCTATAGTTTGAAAGCTGCTCTTGTCATTTAATAGATAATTTTTGGCACTTAGAGCGCCGATTTAATCAATGTTTTCTTCGAGTTTTCCCGATTTTTCGAGTGATTCGACAACTTCGAACTGATTTCTCAAAAGTTCTTCAATTTAAATGAGAACAAGTTTGAGGGCTGCTTTTGCGGTCATTTAATAGAGGAATTCTTGTACTGCTTGTCCTTTGTGGCTCGCTTTCCTTGATTCTTGGTGATGTGTTCAATTCTATCTGATTTTTCAAAAGTACTTCAATTTAAATGAGGTCTTATATAGTTTGAAGGCTGCTATGGCGTTCATTTAAGAGAGGAATATTTATTCTTTGATTCATTTGAGTGTCAATTGACTCAATGTTTTCCTTGATTTTTTCAATCGGCGATCTTTTCAATAGTTCTTCAAGCGAATTGAGTTTGATGGCTGCATTGAGGTCTTTTAATAGAGGACTTTTTACTCTGTTGGTCTTTTGAGTGGTGGTTTACTGAAAGTTTTCTTCGATTTGTAGCCATTTTTTCGTTTTAAACCGTTTTTTTTAAGTTTTTTAAGATGAATCATATTGTTCTTTGAGTCCTTTGAAGGTCGATTTTTTTCGACTTGTTTGACTCGTACGAAAAGCACATAAAAAGAGTATTTTTTAAAAAACGTTGACCATCAATAGCAGAGGAGACACACATTCGTTCCTAATAAATGTTACGCCACGGTGACTTCTTTTGAGCCAAAGGTCTCAGTCCTTTGATCATGCGGTTGCGGGACGCCCTGTAAATCCGTTGAGCAGTTACACTTACATTTGGATGATTAAAAGTACTAATATTCATTTTATTTACATTATCACAACCTCGGAGTTCAAAAGTGAAGCTTAAACTATTATCAAATCAACACTTATCCGGATACAGAGAGCATATTTGAGGCCAAATAGCAGCCACTCGAAATCCGCGGTTCTTCAATCGGCGTGAATGGAAGTCGATTCTGCTAAACGCATCATTTTGATGAAAAATCAGTGGGTCGCTCCATACTCGTTCAGCAAATGCGGCTGCTCGCGGCCATAATCTCGTTTCCATATCATCAGTGCTAACCTGTTCAGTCCAAAGACACACTTCCCCACCTAAAACTTGATTGATCCTGTTTGAGTAATCCTTCCAAGGACGATACTGGTAGAACTTTTTCCAATCAGTATAAGGATCACACGCTCCATTCTGGTCATTTTTCTTCCAAGGTCCAAAGCCGCAATCCAGATACCATCGCCCTACAGTCGAAAAGATGATTTTGTAGCCATTTTCCAGAATGGGCTTGAACTCTCCGAACCAATACTGCACCACGAGATCGTTTTGATAGGACAGATACTTTAAGTATCTATCAGTTAGTGGACTTGACCAAAGGACAATATTCTTCGGGATAGTACCGTTGTTTGCTAGTTTAACTCGGTTCATCATATCGTTGGTGAATTTAGCCCAAACAGCGTAAATATTCATATCCGCTCCTTTTGCTGAGTTAGTTCCTTTCCAGCAATCGACAACAACTTCATCATCGCCGATATGAAACGTTTCCCTATCAGCACCCAGAGCGAATAAGTCACTATAAATGCCTTGAAGTGTGTTTAGAGTCTCGGGATTATCAGGGTTTAAAGTTGATCTGAACAGATCAGGATTATCACATAATACTTGGCTTTTATCCCATGCTTCTGATGTGATGTGACTTGGCGCATCGACTTCCATTATCGTCCGAATTCCTCGCTTTCTTGCATATTCAACCAGATCTTCGATATCAGCTGAGGTGTATTTGGAATCCTCGTCATACGCCCCATCAAAAGCCAGCTCTTTGTTATTCGGAAGAACTAAGGGAAAACTAGTAGAATCGGAAATGTGAAGATGGAACACGTTGAGTTTTGATGCAGCCATTCCGTCCAAAGCCTTTTTCAGAAGTTCTATTGGGAAATAGTGTCTAGAAACATCCAGCATAAGCCCTCGATGCGTGAAACTGGGTTGATCGACAATTTTTACATCGTGAACTATCCTAAATCTGCCGCTAATTGTATCATACCAAATCAGTTGGCTGAGAGTTTCAAGCCCATGTCTAGCGCCATAATAATTTTCAGCAAACATATTAACCAAAATAAAATCTGGCAGTTTTTGGCTATACAATGAATAACTTTCGTTCGTAGTTGTTGCGAGCTTCAAATCTGCTTCTTTAACATGAATATTTAACTTGATGATTTGATCTTCATCTTCATACAATTGATATTCCCGTGTATCTCCAACTAAAGTGAGCAAGAATCTGTTGGAAGCTTCTTCTAATTCACTTTTCACTGCTTCAGGCGAGTGAATCTTCAGCAATATGTGCTGCTTTAAAAAAGTTGAGGAATTCTTCTTTTTTAATTCGATATATTTTGGTTGTGGCCATAGAGGTGGATTTTCTCCACAAAGCATGTTGCATGTATCAAGCGTAGTTCCGCATGAACTATTCGTTGGGTCAGTTAGTTTAACGCATTTATTTTCGGTACATGTCCATCTGTGCGTTGGAAACTTCGTTAAACTGGAAAGACATGAAATGCAAAATTATTCAACTATAAATTAATTAAAAAATATATGAATTGAATTAATTCAAATGAGAATTTCATGGATATTTTGTGTTTTTTGGCGTTGATACTAATTAAAGAGCGTTTTCTTATCACGTAAGTTTATTGCTCAAATTCCAGAACTGAATAAAGACGCAAATGGTTTTACACAAAAATATATATTAATAAGAGCATATACATTTTTACAATGAAATGTACCGAAGATCTATTACTTCCGTTAAATTAAAGGGTGGTTTGTAAAGAATTAATAATATTGAACTCTGATATAACTGAGAATTATTTTTTTCATCCTGGTCGTTTTTCCGGTGAAATATTTACTAACAGTGGAACTCAAAATACAGGAACGAAGTAGAAGACAATCGATTAAATCTTGAACATTCTGTGGCTGAAAAAATAAACATTTATACATTTTTGCACTCTGTTTCAATCAATGTTTGCTTATAGAAAGCATGAATGATTCAAAATAGTTAATCGATTTAAGTTCCTACAGAACCTATCGACTTTAAATGGAAAAACAATTTTGCCTGCAAAAGTGCTTGAAAAAGGCATAAATCGAACATAATTTTATAGTGGCATTGATAAGCCAACAAATACGACTTCCTTTAGATTCAAAGGTTTTTCACTTTGCATTAAAGAAACATTTCTGATAGGAAAAAAATGCTGCGTCTCATGTTTGAGTTTTCAGTCAAAAATTAAATTCGATCTCTTTATCATGTGTTTTGGTCTACAGGCTTACAAATCATCAAAAAATATATGGCAAACGTACGAAAAAATTCACTATTTTGTCCAAATTTAAGGCAAAATTACTTATATAATATAATATTGTAAGAATATTTCTTGTGAACGAAGACCGGGAAATTTGAGTTCAAATTACATTTTCAAGTCCTTTTGAATAATGTTCTATTTATCATTAAAGGTTTCACATTGGACAGGAAAATAAATATTGAATATTTACCGAATTGTTTCTGTTGTGAAGGTGAATAAATTAAGATTATACTTGGAGTACTTATTCCCAAAAAATATTTGTTTAAATCATATTAAAATCGAGTGTTTCGTTTGTGGCTTGCTTCTCAAGGTCTTTTTTTCATGGAAATAATTTATGGAATTTATATAAAAAAAATTTTAAATTCATTCCACATGTTACTACCTGAACCAATATTTGTCTCCATTATATTTACATATTTGTTATTTACTTAGTGATCGCTTTAATTGCGTCCTGCGACTAATAGTCAACAATTTTTCGTACATATTGGCTATGCATACTTAACATTAAAGTAGCGAAATAATAGGAATTATAAACTTTAGATAACAGACAATTAGCTCCGTGCTGTACCAGTCATGTTAACTTTAACGTGCATCTTATCGAATATGACTTAGGTGACACGTTACTGATAAGCTAATCATAAATTAAATATATCAGGCATAATTTCCAAATAATTTTATAATTTTGTATTTAGAGCATCCAACACCAATAAAGAAACTGCTTATATCAGTAGCATTATTTTGTAATTTAATGAAATAACATATTAACTAACATATTGTCTTCTCATTCATTATTTCCTCGTTTTTAATGAAAATGTATCTACAGTTTTGTACAGATATTTTTAGATCTTTCATGTAAAAAACGATTTTGTATTACTAATTTCTTTCGCATTTAGAGCGGCTTTAAGTCTGATAATAAAAATCATAAATTTGTAATATCAGGACAGAACTTTTTTTAAAAGTAATATAAAATTATTCTGTGTTTCAGGCTTAATAACTGACATACAAATACCGCGCCTTCTTAATCCACGCAAAGTATTCGATCAGTTTCTAAATATAAGCAAAAGGCATATAAAAAAGCTACCAACTTGAAGAAATTCCTCGTTTTTAATGAAAATGTCTCTACCGTTTTGTGACAATTTTAGATCTTCCGTGTAAGAAATGATTATGCATTAAGAATTTGTTTCGCATGTAGAGAGGTTTTGAGTCTGAAAAGAAAAAGCATAAATTTGTATTATCAGGACTGAACTTTTTTAAAGGTACCTACTATAAAATGATGATGAAACAGAGAAATACCGCGCCTTTTTTAATCCACGCTAAGTATTCGATTAGCGATTCAAAATATCAGCCTTATAAAATATTTATATAAAATATAAGCAAAAAGGCATATAAAAAGTTACAAACTTGAAGATTTTGAAGCTCCTTGATCTTTGTCAGGATATAAAGCAGTTAAATCTTGAACTATAAGGTAGAACAAAATTTCTTTAACAGTAAGTGCTTTCAAATCATTTAAATGTATCTTGCAAATTTCCTGTTTGCATTTTCACTCTGAAAGTTTTGGGCCATTTTGCTCACAAATTGTTTGATTCATTCTATACCTGCATTAAATATCGAGTTTGGCGAAAGCCTCAAGGAAATAGCAGAATAAAGTAATTTATTAAATTTTTGTCTGAAAACCTCGCAATAAAATTTTATATTAATAATTTAACTGCAGTGCAAAGTTCAATGAAATAAAAAAAATTACAAGTGCTTGTAAAGTAGGTCTTTAATATGTATTTTTGGGCTGAAGCAAACTTTTCAATATTAAAGGGTGTTCATGGAAGCAATAAATTTATTAAACCACTAATTTAAGTAATAATGACAAAAGAGAACCTACGTACAAAATTTCAATGACAATTTAAAAGCAACTCGATCAAATTATCGTCCTGATTACATATCCAGGTCTTCAAAAAATATAATAAACAATTTTAGAAAATTTTAAACAAAAAGCTTAACCGTTGCATTAGACTAACAGCTATTTTTAAGCGCAATTTTTTCAAGTTTAAAAAAACTTTGGAAAGCAATGAAAGTATCTACGAATAACCATTTAGCCTCGACATTGTCTATCACTTTCAAACAAACAAAAAACATATATGATGTCATTTTAAATTGTTGCGCCCGCTAAACCATATAATTTTTACTTGTGTCCTTGCTTCCAAAAAGATTGCCCACCCTTGATATAAAGGATCCTTTCACATACAAAAGTTTCAGCTTAGCTATTATACATATGTAGGCCAATTATTTTGTGAACGGTATAGTGTTTGTCATCAAAATCTATTGAACTTATGGGTATTTTATCAGTTTCATTTCACATTATTTATGATTTTTAAAAATTCGCACTTTTTATATAATTAATATTATCTACTTACTTGTCATTCGGCTGTGCTTCTCCGCATATTGTAACCACCAAAACACATACCACTAAAGGAAAAAAGCCAAAAATACAAAGTTCTCTCATTCTTTCAAATCGAGATTTTGTCATTGATCACAAGTATTTTGTCTGTATGGATCTGGCGCTTCAGATATGTGTTATCTATAAAGTTTAAAAGTAGAAAAATCAGCAGGTCTGGTAATTTGTAATTGCAGCGGGGAACTTGACTCGCCCGACAGTTATACTAAAATAAATATGGACTACAGTTCCTTCTGTACACGCCTTTGATTGACAATGTCAATATTTTTCTTTGGACTCCATCAGGTTCGTCCTGTTAGAATAGCATTAGAATCATCTGTTGAAAATGTACATCGGTAAATTAACACTTATTACACGCATAAATACGCGGTTACACTCTTGCTAATCAATGCTCTTAAACTTCCCGATTCTCCGTCCGATTTTCGCTGATATTTTGTTGAACTCTTATGCAAAATGAATGCAATTTATTTACTAAAGAAAGAGGAAAGGAATCATTGTTTAGACACACTTAATTTTTTAGTAATTATAACAATTTATTTTGTTGTTTTTTTAAACACACAGTCGTTATACTAACAAAACCCAGCGCATACAATAATATTACCCATTGACTTGATATTTTTAAATAACATTATAAATATTGTTATATTGCATACTGAGAATAATCGGTGTTATCGTATACTTCATTAACTACACTTTGGGTGAATCTTCCACTGTAAGAGGGTTGATATTGAGATCTGGTATAGGAAGCTGGGGGTCTGGTTCTTGGCACGTATTTATACGGTGATTGATCTGGTTCTGTTTCTCTAAAATAGAATTCAATAAAAATCAGAATTTTAATTTAAATCGAATACAATACTTTCATGAAGTAAATAGCACTAATTCTATGTAGGTCACACCCTGAGGTCATTTTCATGGGAATTTAAATTGATCTGCTCTCTTACTTTTAAGCGGTTTTTGCGAAGATTTTATTGAATCTGAAAAAGTGTTTATTAACTTTGTTTTCTGATTTGTACGGTTTCTTTCTAGCTATTTTGTATTAAAAAAAA